ACTGAAGCTCCTTACAATATTGGATGCAGGGATGGAGGACTTATCTGCAGCATATCTATTGTATAAATCAATCATGAACTGTGGTGGCTCCTCTTTGGTCTTCACTTGTGAAGGGACTCTTGACAAATTCAAACTCCTTAGTAAATCTGTCTTCATATTCTCCAGGAAAGATTTAAAGTCAAAATGAGTCTCATCTTCCACTTCCCCAGGATCATGAAAGTGCGCGCCAGACTTTCCCATTGCTGATAACTTGTCCCAGTCTTCCAAAGGCTTGCCTCTTGTCAAACAGGCAATGATGTTGAAAACAGACAGTGCAGCTAATACTCCAAAATAATGCATTTCTTCTATATTTACTTTGTGATGGAGAGACAAGAGGACGAGGGTATTTTAGCTGATTAAAAATCTTGTTTCATTACAGACAGAGGAAACGAGATGGAATGCCCTTTGCAAATCACTTTCTTGTGTTCTTTTTGCAGTCTGCTTCAAACCCCAGCCTCTTGTCAGTTGTCAGGCAGATTGGTTGTACACTTGCCCTTATCAGAGTCATTGATGCCATGCTTCAGCTTCTGTTATCTAGCAAAGCTCTTAGTTAATGAAGATTCTATAAACATCTGAAAAACACATGTGGCTGGTGGGAAGGACACTGTATATTGTAAAGAATCCACATTTCACTTTAGGGTCATCATTGCTTAATTACACTCTTCTATCATTTCCTTGCCAACACAGACAGAAGCTTTCTTAGGGACGTAGAGGATTACACTGTTTTCATCAAGACTAGAAAATACAGATCTGAAACAAAGTTACACTATTAACTATTAGTAAATAACACCTCACAAATCTTTGTTACAGTCTCTTCGCATGCCACCAGAAAATCCTCTATCATTTGATGGAGACCTGTGATTCTGCAAGACATGATCTCATGACAATACAAACAACCTTAAAACTTCTTTCCGTTTATCAGGCAAGAGCTATTGTTTGTACACAGTGAAATATCTGGTTTGTGTCAAGTTTATTTCTTGTTGTTTGCAGGCTTGTCCGTTTTCAGTTTGATTCTTTTGGTGTATGGGAATTTAATCTTGTTTTTATGGTATCTTATGTAATATATTTCTTACATTCTTGATGGTCAATTCAGTCCAAGAGCAACCAGTCATTATTTCAGTGACCTCAAAATAAAGGCAGAACTAGGCCTTCTAGGGCCACATGGAAGGTAAACGTCTCTGTGAAGATACAGAAGATTATCTACGAAGATACTGTTATCCATGAGAAGAATGAGCCAAGGCAAAAATACAAGACTGATGATAGAATTTCTCATGATACAGAAGAAAAAAACTATTTTATTTATAGACCAAAATATCACTTGCTATTTATTTTAATTAACGCCTTATGGTTTAATCTAATGATACATAAGTGTTTTAACTGTATTATTAATATATCATTTTTTCTAAGCACAACTCAATCCATACTGTACATGCACCATAAAGTCTGAATAGTATTATGAGTTTTACATTTAAAAACATCTCATTGCAAAGATGTGGACAAGATTTTGTCCTTTCTGGCCATTCCCCTCCAGTTTTCCAGCAGTGCATACACAGTGTTTAAAGTGAGCCCACACTTCTCAAATACTCACTTATCTGTCTGTTCAAGTGACAACTGGGTTCCAAGATTCTGGTTAATTATGATCCTGTGGTGTAAAGTCCTGGTCTCCTGCATAGCAAGACTGTTACGTTTTACTCAAGGCCTTTGTGTTTCCTACCTGTGTGCAGAGCCCAATCACTTGTGTTTGGCTAAAAGGTAACTTTTTAAGAGTCTCCAGAACTTATCTGAAGATGTTAAAGAATCAAAGATTTCTTCAATTTTTGTAGCACTTACTTACTCTAAAAGACTGTCACACTTAAAAAATCATTTATTATTTCATTGTGCCTGGGTTCACCTTCTAGGCAGGGGTTCTTGTAACCTTCTGGCTGGCTTAAGGAGCCCCATAGCGCTGCCTTTTTCTTTCTGTCACAGTACTTGTACAGTGTAATCAAGTTACTTCTCAGTTTGCTTTCTGATAAAATAAACAGATTGTGCTTTTTAGTCACATGTTATAAGACATTTTCTCTAACTGTTTTTGTTTCTTTTTGTATCTCTTTCAGATTTTGAATGTCTTTTTGAAAAGGTGAACACTGGGGCTATACATAGTTTTCTAGTGGCAGTCTACCAGTGCCACATGCAGAAATAAAATCTCCTTTCCTTATGTGGTTCACTACTCCAGTGTGTATCTTTTCAAAGCTTTCATTAGCTGTCTTTAGAGAGCATCACCCTGGATGGTCAAACTATGCCATAAGTCCCTGATATCCACCAAAATTTTTTTAGGATTTATGGCTTTACAGGGTGCAGTCTTTTCCTCAGGAGGAGCAGCCTCCATTCCTTGTGCCTAGATACCATCTGTCTACTTTAAAATGAATTTTGATTACATAAAGTGCAGCTAGATCAAGTGATCTAAATAAATACCTTTCTCCTAAACACTGTCTTCTGCAAATATTGTGGGGGTTGTTATATACAGACTTCTAGTTCATATATAAAGATGTCAAATAGTGTCAGGCCAAGTGTCAGCTTTGCAGAAACTTTACAATGAACAGTTTCATTCAGTGGCAATTTCTTTTGAAAGCTACTCTTTGAGGTTTGGCAGTGAGGCAGATGTTAATTCATGTGATATACAAATATGTTAATATTGTGCAGTGGTTTATTTTAATTATGCAGCCTTGTGCAAGTGAATGGAAATACTCCACAAAAACCTAGGTACATTGTATCTCTTGCCGTTACCTCTGGCAATGAAACTGTGGCCTCAAAGAATGAAATTGGATTCGTTTTAGGAAAAAAACGTCCTTAACACTTTGCTGGCTAGTATCAGCTGTTTTCCTGTTTTATCTGTCTTTAATCATCTCATATTAATAAATTCTCAGTTCTTTCAGGATTAGTGGAATTATCTTGACCAGCTATTTTAAGTGTTTGTCAATAGTAACTTTCTCTAGAAATTTAATCATTGAGTGGAATGGTTTATAGATGTTCGTAGAAATCAGATCTGTTGGACCCAAGAGAGTAAGGGTATCAGTGTCTTCCAACAGCAGCTAACTGGATTTGTGCCATTTCAAATACAAAGTTTCCTTTTCTAGAGGAAGATTAGACATCCAAATAACAAAGACCCAGAAAGTAGTAGCCACTTCTAAACAAATAGAGGTTTAAGACCTTGTTCACATTAGAGAATTCATTGGTACAGCTAAACTCCAAAAGAAATAAACTTTACTAGTAAGAGAATTGTATTGCTTGTGTAGGAAGGGTCTCAAGGCATAGCCTTGAGAGCTATGCCACTTACAGCTACAATTTTGTTTTGCCATGCTAAATAACATAGATATGCCAACAAACCTTTAAATGCAGACTAAATCTTTCAGGGTTTTATAGGTATCCTAATGAGTATAGGAGTAGCATTTTCCCTTATGTCCTATAGACCTTATAACAGATCACAGGATGGTATCTCTTTCCTAATTGCTTTCATTAGCACATCTTGGAAAGAAAGTTTGTACCCAAGGACTAATTCAAGATATAGAAAAGATTCCTTAAGGAAAACAAAATGCAATAGATGAGAACATACACACACTAAGCTAATATATCATTCTGTTCAGAGCTGGTGCTAAATGAGAGCAAGACTAGACCTACAGAAAAGGGTATATTTTCTTAGAGAACAAATTACAATGACTTAAGATACTTTGAAAAGTTTTATGCATAGGGCTGTTCTGTAGGAATAAATGATGATTTTCTGAGAACTTTTAAATTTTTATTTATGCATTAGCATTACTTTATCAATTGTAGTTGAGTTTCTAATGATTTATAAAAACGTAAGCCCCTGCTTTTTTAAGGGAGATCTTTACCTATGTAGGTTAGCAGGAAGTACCACATTTACACACCTCTGTTGTCTGGGAATCTGCGCCACATGAGCATGGAATATTGGTGGCAGAAGTTACCTAGCACCTTAACAGGATAGGAGCCTTCATCAGAAGGTAGCGTGTGTAGTATCCTTCCCATAAACATACAACTCTTAATAGGATAAGATAGTGCAGAAGGTTAGACTGTATCTTGAGGAGGAAGCACTCTGTATCTTGCATTCTGTGCTACCTCACAGACTTTAAAGGTTTGTTCCACTCCTGGTCTGCCTATGCTATTGTACAGCAGGTGAGTGAAAACGGAGTATGTGGCAAGTGCCTCCTGGCATGCAGGAACACTGAGAAAGAGGATTGACTGGCACAATGATGGAACATCAGCTTAGAGGGGTGCTGCAGTTACAAGGGCTACCATGAATGTATCAACAGAGGATTGTACAGGAGTTAGAGAGACACAGAGACTTTATTTCTGTAAAGAAATTTTGATATTGATTGTTGGAAAAGAAAGTTAATAAAAGTTCTGGAAAGAGTTCAGAAAAGAGCTGTGAGAAATTGTTTTGAGGCTTAAAATAAAAAAGCTAAGTACCTCTTTAAATCTTAGCCAAAATGTAATTTGACCCTACTCTATATACTAAAAATACACAGTGAAAGCATTTGGGATAATAGATAAAAGGGATCTAATAAAATAGGTTACAGTAAGACCCAGTGAATTGAAGCTAAAGCTCAACAAATTCAGACTAGGATTAAGCCACTGCATTTGAACAAAGAGCACTAACTTTTGGAACAACTACTTGTAGTCCAGTAGAGATATTCTATCACATGAAATCTTTAAAGCCAAATTTATGCATGTTTTTCAAAGATATTCCCAAGCTCAAGACAGAAGTTCCGTAATGCAGGGTGCAGAAACTCCTGGGCAAGGTTCTTGGATCTGCGCTATGCAGGAGGTCGGTCTAGATGATCATTGTATTCCCTTCTGTCTTTAATCTATTGAGGTGCATTATGACAAGCTTAACATTTATTTACACGTTTCCATCTAATTATCAGAATGTAACAGAATGCATTTATAGAAAGACAATTCAATTATTTTTAGATACTACTGTACCTTTAATTTATTAGCTTTTGTTAAAAGCATGTAACAATCTAGAGGATATAAAGTATAATTTACAAAAATATAAATCTTGGTTATTTTATTTTTAGTATTTCAACATATTACTATATAGGATGTGTTAGACAATATGTTTAACAACCTGAAATTATCCAGCAAACCAAAAGTGTGGGATATTACATATGTCTTTTGTAGAACAAATTATATATTAGGGAAAGGTAACCAGAAATGTCTATATTAACATACTGTTTACATGAAAGCTTATGCTGTGCACTATACTTGCATCCTGAAGAAAATATACTTTTGAAGCCCTTTATTACAGCATTTTTCAGTATAAATATGCAGATTAAAAGTATGAGTGTTTTAGGCAAAAAGTTTTGATTTGTGTACAAAAGTGATATTCTAAAATAAGCCTGCCTTTGCAAGTTCACTTCCCATCTTCTTGGTTAACTGAAGAGATAAAATAGTCAGAAAAATAGCATATAAAACCATATTTTAGTCCTTTGATTATGGAAAATTGTATACTTAAATTTCTCACTAAACACCAGGTGTCTTGACTAGGTGGGTTAGGAAGATATTTGTAAAAGTATTGAATTCCTGGAAGATGAATATGAAAGACAAATGATGACAGCAGGACATATCCTTCCAGGTGAGCATGTGTATCATTATAGTCTCTCCACATGCTTTCTGTAGAGGAATTGTAGGCTTGCATTCATTCATCAACACTAGTGGATTCATTTCCCATTCACAACTTTCCCAGTGTAGTCAGGCAGGATGCATAGGTCTTGTTAATGATGTGTTTGCGTGAACTTATCGGCAGGCGCAAGTTTCAACCGACATATTGGGATACACCTTTAAAACAACATTTTTGTTCTCATCTAAGAACAGGACACTGAGTGAGCTCATTTTGTCAGGAACGCAGCAGGGTTCTGGGATTCCAGGAATGATTCCCACTGCTTTTACGATGCTCTGGATTGTAGCATGATTTGATGGCCGAACAATCTGGAACAGAGAAGGAAATAGTTATCGCTTCATTTATGAGCAGCACTTTCCCAGACAGACTTGGAAAATGACAACAATTATGGTTTTTTTCTTTCTTGAAAAAGTGAATATATGTGATTGAGTCACAGGGCCATACAGCACACTCACACTCACACACAGTCCCTCACACTTCCAGCTTTCCTGTGCAGGGTGTATCCAACAGATATTTTGTGTTCCTTATGTGGCCTTCATAAATACCAGAGGAGGGCACTGGTGGCACAGCCAACAGTCAGTAGCCTGGAGAAAGAATGTCCTTGACTGCACCTACTAGGTACTGGAGGCAGGCATGCAGGAGAAGAGGACTGATGTGGGGCACACTTCTCAGCCAAAAGATGTTATCTTTTGTTTTCTTAACCTCTTGTCTGACTTGGAAAATTGGCTACTGTAATTATTTCCAAAATAGCTATCTCTATGTTCCAGTAGTATTTCTCCTCATGTATGCTAACCTGGAATTAGTTCTGTTTTCCTGGAGTACTTACTCTTTCAAAAGAGCAGAGTGCTCCAGAAGTAATGTCCACAAGGGGGAGTTAACTCTAAATAGTCAAACAACTTGACAGAGCCTTTCTCATCATAACCCCATGACAAAGTATTTCATACCTGTAGTCTGTCTGCTTCCCTCTGCCTTCCTCACCAGGCTTTTCCCCACCCCCCCTGAGCTAGCCTCAAAGCAGCAGAAGAAAACAAAAGGCTAGGAGGGCAGGAGAATTATGAAATGTGGTTTCACAGCAGCTTTACATCTATATAGTGTTCAGGGTGCTGAGCCACAATCTTTTTTCTACTACTGGTTTTTGGATGCAGTAAACAACACAAGGAAAAATATTTGAGAATAGGAGGCAGCCTTTAGGAACGACAGCACTGAGAATAAGAAAAGGAAAAAGTTAAGATATGTAAATAGTATACTGTTTAGGAGTTAGGTGTAACTTTTTTTTTTTTTTTTTAGCCTTTATTCACAAACTATATTTGACCGTTGCAGTCTGAGCAACTGAATAGTACTGAACAGTTTTCACCACTTCTATTGCTTGAGGCACATACAGTCAAGCACAGGTTTACCGGTGACAGAGTGACAGCCTTTCTTTGGCATTGCCTCAGCATAGCATGGAATGCGTGTGCTCCAGTTGTCGTGCTTGAATACTGTCCCAGCAAATGAGTACCGTAACAGTAGTAAAACTGTGTTAGTCATATCAGGCTTTTTGATACAGTTTCACAAGTTTTCTGCATGGATCTGATATAGGTGGCACATGAAATCTTTCACCACTATTGGTACATAGCTGTATGTCAGGTGGAAAATGACATCTGTGGGACAAAAAATAGGGACTTTGCACACCTCCACATGGAAGCAGATTAATGTCTCCTATGTCTTCTCTATTTTTCAAATAATTGAGTACATGTAAAACATGATTTTACATTTCAACATGAAAAGTTATGTAGTGCATGGGTATAACAAAGGAGCTATTTTTTAGGATAATTCAGTTCTGATATATTTACTGTAGGTGTAACATATTAGCAAATCAGATCCAAACCTTAACTGCTATTAAGGCTTTCAGATGTTCCTTAACTAAAGTGATCTCATTTGAGCCATTACAAGGAGAAACTGTGAAATCCATCCTTGATGCTTTGGGGCTTCAAGGCAGCATCTCTACAGCCAAGTCCCAACAAGTGACCAATCCTGGAAAGTGCCTTTCTGTAATTAGCATATGCTGGCATAATTAGCAACAGCTTGCTTTCTCATACCACCCTTCATCTTTAGATTTCAAAGCTGTCCACAAACAAGCAGCAGTGAATTAGTCTCACGGCTGCTATGTGAAGTAGAAATAGCTTCTACCCACATTGGACATGTCAGCAAATCTGGACAGCAAAAGAGAGACAGAAGTAGCTTTCGTGTGTTTAAGCAACTGCAGAGTTTAGAAATTCAAAGAACTAGAGTTTCTGAAATCAAGTTCTGACTTTAACCTTTATGAAAAACCTCCTCCAGTGTTCCTAGCACCTTTATTATTTCATATTGTTATTTGAAACAGTCACAGATCCTAATGCGCTACTGAAATAGAATTTGTTGACCCCGTGCAGTGGATAGCCATCATTGCCTTCAGTGCTCTCACTGGCTTTGTACCAATATGCTAAAGTGGAGAGCTTGAAATGAGTTCAATGCCCGGTAGTGATGGCACTGAGGAAGTGCTAATGTTTTAAATGCTGGCTACTAAGTTATACAGCAGGCCAGGCTCTTCTCTTACTTAACCTCTAAGACAATCCTAGCTTAGAAACATTTTAGGCCTCAGAAAATAGAAGGATGGTGATGTAGCTGCAAAGCAATTGAACAGCAGGTTTGAAATATTTTAGACCCTTCCCTTCTGTGTGGCTCATGATAAAAAGTCTGTTTTATCATGAATTTGCGCTT